TATAATCCCTAAGTGCGGCCGAAGGCCGCCTACGCAGAAAGGTGTTCTATGCAAAAGGTGTTCGGCCCCTTTTCTTTGGCAACACAGAAAGGAGAATTATACTGCCTGAGGGTTATAATCCCTAAGTGCGGCCGAAGGCCGCCTACGCAGAAAGGTGTTCCATGCAAAAAGGTGTTCGGCCCCTTTTCTTTGCCTTAAAAATGTGTTTCAGTATTTTATGGGGGAATATTACCCCAATCCCCCTACTATTTATTTTTATCTGAACAAAAGAACCTTGTCGTATTTTCCTTTTAATCGTATTTTCTTTTGGTCTTGCTTTCCACTCTTGGTTTTTAGATATGGCAACACAGTCCTGCTGCCATTTGCACATACTCTGCATGTACTCTCATAAAGTTAAACAACAATCAATTTTTTATAAAAATGCTGTAATATACTAAAAGTATTTATTTGTTTGAACGTGCACACTCTAACTGCGCATATATTGAGTGTAAATAACGTGTAAATTTAGTGGAAAGTGCATTATATATTGTGAAATAGTGCCATACAAGTTGGTGAAAATTACAAAATTTAATAACAAATTACTTAAAAACTATAAGGTTGCGCGCTTTAAAACTTTACATATACCCCCTTAAGAACCCCCTCTACCCCCCCTATTTTCCTTAATTCCGAAATCGGGGGTTACCATTCTAAAATTTTCCCTATTTTTGAAATCAGGGGGTCCTATTCTACCCCACTTGATCCCTTTTTTCTAGAATTTGCTGTCCGTCTACTAAAATTTACCCCTTGCCTGCACTTGATTAAAAACGAAAAATATTTCACATAATTTCATTTATTTACAACAGCTGACGAGCGACGCACGCGAAAAGTTGATAGTTGGCCATCTTTTTGTGTTGGCGTGAGCGTTGTCGAATATTGTCTATGCGGACGGCTGCATTTGAATTCATGTATTCATACTCAGCTGCTGAAGCGACGCCAACGCCAACGCAACGCAAAAGTTCTATGTAGACGGGCGTCAAGTTAGGTATGCCTCATTCTGACGCTCGGGCAGTGTTCTGTGCAAATGATTTGGATACCTTATGGCAACGCCATTTCGGTTCAGCCTTGGTTCAAGTTTTTATACAAATTTTCACTCAAAATTTCGCGATTTTAACGAACGAATAACTTTTAAACTAACAGGCGTGCGTGGTTTTCATTTTAGGAAAATAGGGACCGCCCTCTACCCCCACTTTTGATGACGATGCATTATTCAAACATTTCGCCATGATTAATTTTATTTTTCTCAATATCTAAAATATATCTCCACATACAGCCACATGCACAGATACCTACACATTTAGTATATAGAAAGCAATTCTATCCGTTTCTGGTGCTACCGAACAAAAGTCATGTAATAATGTAAAATATGAGCAAATTTACTATTTTTATGCGACTTCTACTACATTTCACTGTGGCAATCCATCAAATTGTTTTTCAATGGTATCACCATATGTTTTGTAAACAGATAAAACTGAATCACAATTTGGTACCCAACACTACTCAATATCAAAAAAAACAAAACACTTGGACTACGAATAGGTATTGCAGCGATTAATCATTTGATTAAACTAATCGATTATGTTCGTCCTAATAACGATTAACAACCTCAAGCCCTGAACACATTGCAAACGACGAGCCACCGGCCACAGCTGTCGATAACGACATGATTTCATGAATTTATCTGTGTTCGTATGGAAAAGTAGCTTATGTGGAAAGGCTGGCTTTAGTATAAATCGGCATTCGCAGCATAGGATTGCGAATGACTCACTGGCGCTGAGCTGTTGTAGAACTTTTGGCAAATAAACGTGCAAGAAGTAGTTCCGATACCAGCAAGTCAATATTCTTATTAAGTCTCATCAAAAAATTCCTTGCCGTTTAAAGAGTAAAGGGAATGCCGCATTATACTAAAGCCAGCCTTTCGACATAAGCTACTTTTCCATGTGAACAGAGTTATGTAAGTTATCTGTCGCTGGAAAAATAGCAATAATCTGGCCACAACCACATTCGTCGCGTAGCCATGTTGTCGCCAAAATAATTATAAAGGCGCATATTCATAGTCATATTTAGTACTCAACTAACAGGTCTATTCTGCGTTACCGAAGATTTTGTAACCGGGAAATTTTATTACCAAAAAATGTTACCAGTTCTTGTCACCGCGATTCTAGGAACGTTGGTAATGCAGTTAAAATATTCAGCGATTCAGATATGAAGAATTGTGCAAATTCTGGCATTGCATATTTCACGGGGCAATACTTTGTTACCTGCTTATGAGATGGTAACAAAATTTACCGGTTACAAGAGTACACAGAATGGGAAAAGGGTTTAAAAATTGACAGGAACTTTATTTACCGGTTACAAACTTTTTATTACCAGCGCAGAATAGACCTGTATGTCGAAACTATTCTAAGTCACAACTAAAGCTATTCATTGTCGCCTTAGTGTCGACTATTCTGTCTAAGTACAACTTAAAATTTAGTTTCGGCTGCAGCTGCAACTAAGTCGTAACTAGGAAGAAGTACTTTATCACATTAAGGGAAAACAGACGAAATATGTAAAAATTAAGTTGGTAGAGGGTGATCTTGATAATATTGAATAATCTCCAATTAAAAATTACAAAGATCGATCCATTTTCATCGGAAGATGAAATTAAATGCGTATTACAATTCGAATAAAGCTACATCTCTTCTTCTTCTTTTTTGGCGCTGTAACCGCCTAAGCGATTTTGGCCGAGTTCAGCAAAGCACGCCAGTCGTTTCTCCTCTGTGCCAACTGACGCCAATTGGAAACGCCAAGTGAAGCCAAGTCCTTCTCCACCTGATCTTTCCATCGCAGTGGGGGCCTCCCTCTTCCTCTGCTACCACCAGCGGGTTCCGAGTTGAATACTTTCAGAGCTGGAGCGTCGGTGTCCATTCGAACGACATGACCAAGCCAGCGGAGCCGCTGTATTTTAATTCGCTGCACTATGTCTATATCGTTGTAAAGCTCATACAGCTCATCGTTCCATCGTCTGCGGTACTCGCCGTCGCCAACGCGTAAAGGACCGTAAATCTTCCGCAAAATCTTTCTCTCAAACACCCCAAGAGCCGCCTCATCGGATGTTGTCATTGTCCATGCTTGTGTTGGTAGCACGGGCATGATGAGTGACTTATAGAGCGTGGTTTTCGTACGTCGAGAGAGGACTAAAAATAAAAGCTACATCACAATTTTATAATTGGAATAATTTAGATAAATTCTCAAATAATAAGTCAGTTTCACGCTAGGTCTTTTAAAGTAAATTTGTGCATAACATTTAGATATCTACTATTTGTATGTTTCACAGCATGCTTTCGATAAACATCGACTTCACATCACTGCGGTTGTTCTGGCTATTTCACACAATTAACAAGAAATTATTCTTTTGCATAATCATGCAATGAAAATAAAAATTACATAAACGGATGCTCAAACTTGACATTATTTAATAAAACTGTAATTTTTCCAAAATATCGTAAAGAAAAATCGATACATTTTCACACTCGTTTTGCTATATCGTAAACTAAGTCGAAACTACTGAGTAGAAGTCTGAAATGCGATTATAAATAGAGGTAAATTTTAAGTTGGTACTTAAATTTAAGTTGCAACTTTGTTAGTTTCGACTTAGTTGCTGGACTATGAATACCCGCCGACGTTGCTTTCATCTAGTTTGCAATTTTCTAACACAAAAAGAAGACGAAAGAGAGACGATAATCATTAAAAGCAAACGAAAGATTATAAGTCATCGTCGAGATGGATCTTTCAGCCAAAATAAGTAAATACCGTGAAAAATTTATAAAATAATAAATTATATTTTCACCAATTAAAAAACCCACAACCACACAATTTGAGGTGCTGATTCAAGAGATGGACGAAGATCCGGATCTGGCAAGAGGAGTAACAGTGTTTGGATCTGACAGAGCAAGGGTTCAAAAGCGATGAGACGGGATAATGGAAGAAGGTAAGCTTATACTTGGTAGAAAAAATCCTGAATATTCTAGTAACATAACCAAAAATACGATTTGTTTATTTTTCTTCAGACTTGGGCTGACCTAAAAAGCCGCACAAAAAGAGGATTGCGAACTATATTTGTAATATAAAATATGACAGATGGGGTCCCTTTCGGCATTCAAGAGGCTAACCCTATTCGGTATCATCCCAACGGTCGTTTACGCGCTACACGCCACTCCAGAACCCACTAATTCCACCAGTAACTAAACAAAAAATCTCCCAAATGAATGGCAAAAATGGTAAATAACATTTGACGGTGATGCCCATTTTCTATAAAGTGTGGCAAATAAATTAAATATAATAAAATTCGAAAGGAAATTTATAAAAAATACCTTAATATTTCATTTAGCAACGCTGTTCTAGACGAATACAACGTAATCGACGTAAAGTCTACACGAAGGCGATCATTCAACTTACAAAATTGTAAGCGGAGACGAATTCGCCTGCAGACGAATCGTTCGTTCGCTATCGTTCGAGATACATGATGAGGCTGTAATTGTATCGTAGTATTGTGTTTCATTAATTGATTAATTGTTAAATAATCGTAAAAATATTTTCAAGAAATTTGAATTCTGTACCAGCGTTGCCGTTTTATAATTTTCGAGCAGAGCGAAATGAGCCAAAAAGTAGAGTGTTTTGTGTTATAAACATAAGCATAAGTAAAGAATACGCACCGTTTCGATAAAAAGGAAAAATGGGTTTTAATAGATTTAAGTGTTGAGCACACGTATACCAATTTTATATTGCGGAAATATAAATTGTGGAAGATATATAGGGTTAAAGATGAAATTTTGGATTTCGAAAAATGTTAATATCTTTGATACCAAATAACCATTTTGAGTACTCCTCGGCGGTAAAATCTGATCAGCGTTGATAATGAGCAGGAGCATGAATTTTGCTGGTTCAGAGTTGTATACAAAATTACTGTGGATGAAAGGGAGCAACAACAGTATTATGGCGGAGTGGCCCAGGTAATTTTGTAAACAAACACTTTTCTATAATTTATTTTCTAATATTCAGATACCCGGGTACGAACCAGAGCCAATTGAAGTGATTCTCACTAAAATCGACTCATAATGTTGGAGCAACTCCGGGTAATGGACCATGGAATTTACAGGCTGAACTCATGACCACCATAACCAACGGAATCTACAAGCAAATGAATGTCCTGAATTTATGTGGGAAATAATGTACATGACTATCGGCACACCTACAGGTACAACTATGACAGTGGGTAACCGGGCTAACACTGATCGACAAATGCAAAACTGACAAGAATTGAACGAACCGCACTGAACACACCGAATGATAGACTTGACAAGGCAAAGAAGGACAGCAATTTTGCAGAATGTTTGTAACCACCATCAAGCGAAACCGCCACGATAAGTAATAATAATAATATGCGTGTGTATGTAAAATAAACATGTAATAATGAAATCGAACATTTGCGTTTTAACTGCTAGCGCTACAAAGTGGTGTCAGAAGTGGGATATAGCCCTCGTGTGGACATGAGCGTTGTGCAAGTTGTAAGCGTTTTGTGGGTGTGTGTGCGTGGCATGCTAGCTAGTACTTGGCAAACGTCTTAAAACGTTCAATAGTTCATAAATGGTGCGTAGCGTGACTTGGTGATGCTTTAAAAGCGCAAATTTGCTGAAAAATCAAAAAATTTAACTGAAAAAGTTGAAGTCTGCAGGGAAGTGCCGAGCTTCAAATTGCAGTAAATTTACAATGCGGGAAAAACGAGAAATCTGTGTACTTTAAAGCATTTTGCAAAATTAAGACTTTTAAATAATATTTGCTGCGTGACTGTACTCAAGCACATTTAGCTCTAAATGCTACTCTAAATGTACATCCATACAAAATGGGTCTGGTACGATATGTCGAAATTTAAATTGTCGAAACTAAAAGCACCGAAAAAATGTCGAAAAAAACAGTTAGAAAATCAAGAATGTCGAGAAAAAAATTGTCGAAAAGAAAAATGTCGAAAACAAAAATGTCGAAAATAAAAATGTCGAAAAAAATATCGAAATAATGTAATGAATAATGTGTAAAATTAGCGCGAATTTTACACATCATTCATTACATTATTTCAACAGGTTGATTTATTTAAGTTAAATTCCACTAATCCTATGTACTAATATAATAAATGTGAAAGTTTGTGAGTGAGTATGTTTGTTGCTAAAACGTCTGGATATATTTCAATTAAATATGGAATATAGATATAATATACTAACATATAAAATATTTTTTGGAGTTGCCACCTCTTTAAAAAAAAAACGGCTTAATTAACAAGTTTAACAAAATATTAGCAAGCGAAAGCGGTTCAGAAACTATATATTTCGGAAGTATTTTGTAATAGGATTGCCGCCTGTTAAAAAAGTAAAAGTCAGTTAATTGATAACTAAATATACTTTAAGACGGTTGCTATCTGTTTAAAAAGTTAAAATCAATTCTTTGAAAAAGTTTAAACGAAATATTTTAATGTGGGTATCAAACGAGAATGCTTTATTGTAGAAATATTTTTAGAGAGTTGCCATCTTTTCAAAAAGTTAAAATCAATTTAAATAACACGTTAAACAATTTTTTTCTGCGTAATTTTGCAGAACTTTCTTTTTCCATCTTANGATCTTTTCAAAAAGTTAAAATCAATTTAAATAACACGTAAACAAATTTTTTTTCTGCGTAATTTTGCAGAGCTTTCTTTTTCCATCTTAGGAACTCTAGAACATTTGAAAATCTACTCAGAACACTTTTAATTGTTATTTTTTCACACTTTCAACTTTTTCGACTTTTTTTCGACAATTTACGCGTTTTGCATTTTTTTGACCTTATTCATTTCGAAAGCATACGATTTCGACATTTTGCGTTTCGGTTAAACATTATTTCGAGATTTAAAAAATTTTTAAATTTCTACATTTCTCTTTCGACATGTTTATTTTCGACTTGTCGTAAGGATCCCCTTTACGTCAACTGAACACACCCCATGACAAAAGAGGTGGTTGTTAGAAAAATTGAATTTAAACGAATTTTCTTTAAAAAAAAAAAAATGATTTTTATGGCAGCTTACGCATTGAATGAAAGTGAGCAACGTTATCAAATGAGGGTTAATCGACGACGGTTAAGAGATTAATCTAACCCCCTAAGTACGCCTGATTCAATGTAAGTTTTGAACAAACGTTCGAGGAGTTTGCCTGTTTAAATTTAACTGCTTTTAGATTTATTGCGAACTATCGTTTGAGTAAGAGTGCTTTTTTATAAGTATTGAACGAGATAACTCCATTTCTCCATTTGCCTTCGATTCCTCGCAGAAGGCTCATTCCAACGTTCTGTCGGCAAGGATACTGACATTGCTTTGGGTAGAAGCACAGTATCTAAAATGTTGTCAGAAATTATCAATGCTTTGGAAACTGTGCTGTGGCCTAAGTGGATTAAGTTGGACAGATCGGCGGAGGATTTGAGGAAATGCAAACTACATTTTGTGGAAAAATTTGGAATCCCAGGTGTAATTGGCTGTATTGATGGAACTCACGTACCTTTAGTAAAACCTTTGGAGAATGAGCATTTTTTTTTATAACAGAAAAGGTTACTGTAGCATAAATGCAATGATTGTAAGTATGAAATTGAACAGCATAAGCACGTTTTTAAGTTAAATTTTTTTGGAATTTATAGATTTGTGATTCCGATATCGTCATACGAGCAGTAGATGCAAGCCGACCTGGATCAAGCCATGATGCTTTTGTTTTTAATATGAGTAATGCAAAGCAACATTATTTGTCAAAATATGAAGCTGGTGACCGCGGATCCTGGTTACTTGGTGATTCCGGATTCGGAATAGAAGAATTTTTATTGACACCGTATAGAGATCCTAATCCGGGATCACCACAACATAGGTTTAATCTCCAACATGCCAAAGCTCGTAATATCACAGAGAGAGTAATAGGAGTTCTTAAAAGCAGGATCAGATGTCTAAAAACCGCATTACCATATGCCCCACAAAAAGTAGTTAAGATTATAAATATTTGCTGTGCATTACATAACATTTGTAGGCATTATCAAATAGAAGACTTTGTAGAAACAGAAAGCACAACCCAACCTGAAGAAATTTTTGAAGAAAATACTGAACTCGAAGAAAATACAAATTTGAATAATGTTGGCCGAAATTTAAGAGACTCAATTGCCAATAATTTAATATTATAGAACAGAATGTAAACTTTATTCACTTATAAAAAATAAATTAACAAAAACTCAGTGTAAATATCTATATATTAAATCACCTCATTGATGATTCTAACTCGAGCATCCTCTTTTTATTTTGACTTTTTCTTGTACCAACTGTTCCATCTTGATATGATGTTTCTTTTTTTCTTCTATGTCACGTCGCATTAAACTATTCTGTTCCGCTAGAAGTTGGTTTTGGGTTTCCACCGCTTTACAAAGGCGTTCAAAATCATAATTGTTTTCATTGTTTTTTTGGTTCTCGCATATTTCTCCCAGCGTTATTGCAATTGTTTTCATTGTTTCATTTTGTGTTGTCATACNAACTGTTTCATCTTGATATGATGGCTGAATTTCTTTATTCATTCTGAACGTTTGGAACTTTTTTGTTTACTTATTCTTTAGAACGTTCCTGATGATATGTTAACGTATATTTCAAACACATTCTGTTTATTCCGGCTGTGAAATGAGATTATCCGGACTGTATAAAGAAACGCAGCCGATATTTCTTTTTTTCTTCTATGTCACGTCGCATTAAACTATTCTGCTCCGCTAGAAGTTGGTTTTGGGTTTCCACCGCTTTACAAAGGCGTTCAAAATCATAATTGTTTTCATTGTTTTTTTGGTTCTCGCATATTTCTCCCAGCGTTATTGCAATTGTTTTCATTGTTTCATTTTGTGTTGTCATACNGTTGTCATACACAAACGGAGACAATCTTCATTATCCACGGTTCTTGCTCTTTTCCGTGGCTGCGCACTGACGGCGTCGTGGGTTTTCTGCGGAGGTTCATCTTCATCGGACTCACCAACGTTCACACTTTCAGCTTTCTCTTGTGTCCCGAATGTCCTAGCTTGTGCCATGCCCTCGACTACCGCAAATATGCCACAAATTCGAGCCACACTCTCCTCATTTTGGGTTAATATATATTTAATAAAAGGCCCTCCTCCTGGTGCCCTCGACTCCATATTATTATGTGCTACCTTTTTTTTAATGTTCGCCTTCCAGTCAGACCATATCTGCAAAACAATAAAGCTATTTAAATTACATGAATTGGGAAATTAGATTAAAACTTTACTTTTTTCCAACCATTCACATCTTTCTGTGGTGGACCTTCTGCATTCAATAACATGGCTAGCTCTTTCCACTTCTCTTCGGCATTCACTCGATCGCCTTTTACAAAATTTTTGGCCAAATCTTGATGACTTTCCATGAACTGAACAAAAATTAGTTATTGTTTGGAGTTCTTGTGTTTCCCCCTGAATATTTTTGATATTTAACATTTATTTACAAATAAGATGATATATTTCAAGATAATACTTACATTGTTATGCGTATTATTGATACAAAAATTTTAAAATTTCAAACCGCTCTCGTCTACGTTGCCGAATACAAAACAGTAAAATTTTACCCATTTCGTTTTCCAGAACAGGGTGACAAATCGATTTGGCAATGTTCGAAAAAAACAAAANGCCTGATAGATATAATATACTAACATATAAAATATTTTTTGGAGAGTTGCCACCTCTTTCAAAAGTAAAAACCGATTAATTAACAAGTTTAACAATATATTAGCAAGCGAAAGCGGTTCAGAAATTATATATTTCGGAAGTATTTTGTAATAGGGTTGCCGCCTGTTAAAAAAGTAAAAGTCAATTAATTGATAACTAAATATACTTTAAGACGGTTGCTATCTGTTTAAAAAGTTAAAATCAATTCTTTTAAAAAGTTTAAACGAAATATTTTAATGTGGGTATCAAACGAGAATGCTTTATTGTAGAAATATTTTTAGAGAGTTGCCGTCTTTTCAAAAAGTTAAAATCAATTTAAATAACACGTTAAAAAAAAATTTTCAGCGTAATTTTGCAGAACTTTCTTTTTCCATCTTAGGAACTCTAGAACATTTGAAAATCTACTCAGAACACTTCTAATCTTTTTTCACACATTCAACTTTTTCGACATTTTACGCGTTTTGCATTTTTTTCGACCTTATTCATTTCGAAAGCATACGATTTCGACATTTTGCGTTTCGGTTAAACATTATTTCGAGATTTAAAAAATTTTTAAATTTCGACATTTTTCTTTCGACATTTTTATTTTCGACTTATCGTACGGATCCCAAGTAAAGAACTTTTGTATACGGATTTTTTTTTTTATGCGGCTTTCTGAGGAACACATGTACCTCATAACAAGAGACCTAAGTGTATGCGCTATTTGGTAAGACAATATCTGCATGTNCTTATTGATATAAAATATTTTAAAATTTCAAACCACTCTCGTCTACGTTGCCGAATACAAAACAGTAAAATTTTACCGATTTCGTTTTCCAGAACAGGGTGACAAATCGATTTTGCAATGTTCGAAAAAAACAAAAACGGAACGATTTACAGAACGTGTCATACGATTTAAAAACGGAAAATCCGAAAATGTTGATCGAAAACGATTTATAGAACATGCCTGATAGATATAATATACTAACATATAAAATATTTTTTGGAGAGTTGCCACCTCTTTCAAAAGTAAAAACCGATTAATTAACAAGTTTAACAATATATTAGCAAGCGAAAGCGGTTCAGAAATTATATATTTCGGAAGTATTTTGTAATAGGGTTGCCGCCTGTTAAAAAAGTAAAAGTCAATTAATTGATAACTAAATATACTTTAAGACGGTTGCTATCTGTTTAAAAAGTTAAAATCAATTCTTTTAAAAAGTTTAAACGAAATATTTTAATGTGGGTATCAAACGAGAATGCTTTATTGTAGAAATATTTTTAGAGAGTTGCCGTCTTTTCAAAAAGTTAAAATCAATTTAAATAACACGTTAAAAAAAAATTTTCAGCGTAATTTTGCAGAACTTTCTTTTTCCATCTTAGGAACTCTAGAACATTTGAAAATCTACTCAGAACACTTCTAATCTTTTTTCACACATTCAACTTTTTCGACATTTTACGCGTTTTGCATTTTTTTCGACCTTATTCATTTCGAAAGCATACGATTTCGACATTTTGCGTTTCGGTTAAACATTATTTCGAGACTTAAAAATTTTTAAATTTCGACATTTTTATTTTCGACTTATCGTACGGATCCCTACAAAATTCGTCACCTAAATGCAACTCCATTTTTGCATTAAGAATCTAAATGCTAAAAGCAACCCTCTGATCTTCCAAAATTTCCACGATTCGAACATGGTTTATTGGGAAAAAGTGGCAGCATTGCTTTTTCGTGTATACAGTGGCTAGATGCGTTTCAGTGATCGGCGATCGAGATTTCATTTATTATTTTACATTATTTGGATAGAGAAAAGTTACGCAAATTCAACATCGATGTGAAGCTGACAGAAATCTGGATCCATTTGTGATCAACTCTGTTTGTTTTGTTTCCTAATTAAGTGAGAAATTTTAACTGACAGCACCGACAAATGAATATATACACAAACAAATTTTCGGTTATGGTTAAAACAATTCAAGTTTTTGTATTGAGGTTTTGGTTCTAAATTTATTTTTTCCTTTTCAGTAGGGTTTTTTGAACATTATCTTCTTCGTGAGAATTGATCGTAATAGATACGGATCTGAATAAGCGACTGGAACACGGCTGTTTGTCAAAAGCATACGATTTCGAACTCGCGTAAATGTACATTTGCTAAATGCGATAGCATGAACGCTCTTCGAAAACATATGTTCGAAAGGGCTAAATGTTGCATTTTAAACGCAGCAAACACGCTGCATTAATCAAAAAGCGACAACCAAGTACCAGCAGAGGCGCCAGAGCCAGGCAGCGCCGAACACTTGTAGCAGGAAAGCAGCGAAACGCCAACACAGGCAACATCATACAATAGCGACAAAGTGAGTGTCGAAGTTACAAAGCGTCGGCGCAACTTCAAAACAACAGCGCAAATACAGCAGAAAGCAGCACAGACGACATCGACGGCGCAATATCATCGCAGCGACAACGAAGCAGGGAAATATCCAACAACAACACATGCATATGTACCGGTCCGAAATATTGGAGTGCGAAACAAGCTAGGTGCTTACCAGTTGTTGTTATTGTTTTTGTTATTGCTTATGTTTTTACTTGTTTTGGATTGTTCGCCTATTATCGAGGACATAAATACCCAAGAATGATAGAATACAAGATTGCGCCGATTGCAGCAGAATTCGTGAGAGTAATTTTAGCGTGACGTCATCGTAGAGTTGACAACTGAGAGCGGCGAGAATGAGGGCGACTAGTGATGTGCTGAATTGTCCCCAATACTCGGTACCCAATACTTAAAAAAGATTTCGGTACCCTATACTTCCTTTTCGGTATCCGATACCGATTATTTACATTAAACCCTCGCCATTATATGCATTTCAGGTTTAGAAAAAACTTTCATTACTAATTTATATGATATCGGCTAAAACACTTGAACTTATCGCCACAGAAAAATATTATTTTATCAGTTTTAACCTTAGTCGATCCAAGGTTCAAGAAAAATACTTTGACGGATGAAGAAGCCTTTCAGGGGAGAAATTCTGTAGCCAGTTAGCGACAAGTTTCGGATCGATATCGCACTTGTTGACTTACAAATATTTGATATCAAACGTCGACAAAACCGATACCGATTCGAAAATTGTCGTTAACTGGTTACAGAATCTGTCCCAGGCCTACAAAAATGATATCGTCCGATTCAGCTGGAACAAAAATGCTTCAAACAAGTAAGGGTTTCTCTGTATTATGGCATCGAACCGACATATATACATCTTTCATTTGAATCAGTAAAAAAGCTCTATTGGCTCTTACATTCGGGTTTTGTTAGGCGTTTTTTCCATATTTTTGGCCTATGTGCGCTTTTATTCGAAACCTAAATGTTTCGGTACCGAGTATCGAGAGTATTGGGTACTTAAAAGTATTGACTCAGCACATCACTACTGCTGTCTTCTCTACTATGACGTCACCAAAACAGCTGATTCTGTCAAAATCACTGAGAGCCGAGTAGCGGTATCGT